CGATTGACTGTGAATTCTCCCACTTCGCGGTGCACCCCGGCCACGGCCGCCGCTACGTGCCCTTCGCGTTCCTGTCGACGAAGCCCGTCCTGACGTTCGCCCGCCCCAAGTGCTTTGCCATGTACATGCGCAAGAAGAACCCGCGCTTTGTCCCGTGGACCCGCACCTACCGCCGCATCCACCGCAAGCTGAAGGTTGACCGCGTCGGTCGTCGCCGCGCCGCCCGTGCCGTGAAGACGGAGCGCGGCATCGTTGGCGCCGACCTTTCCTACATTCAGGAGGTGCGGGCCAAGACGAAGAAGGTTGACCGCTCCGCCAAGGGCAAGGCCGTCCGCGCGGAGATGGCTGAGCGCAAGGCTGCGAAGAAGTAGGGCGCGGGAAAATTGCATTGGCGGCACATATCATTTCGTTCTATTCTTCCTTTGTTTTGTTGAATCATTTTTGATTTGGTTTCCTTTGACCCTTCCGGGGTTGCTGGTTTGTACGTTTGACTGCATTGTGTGAAAATGCAGGCGGGGTGCCATGTGGACGGCGTGCGTTGCCTCAGTGTATCTCCTTCTTCCCGCTTTTGGTGCTATTGAAGGAGACTTGTGTCCGTTTTTTTTTGTGTGTGTGTTTGTTTGCTTTTTTTTCTCTTTTAGGCTTAACTGCGGAATTGCTTGCCAGGCGACGATTTACATGACATCCACGGCCACTGAGGTTACACAAGTTCAGAGTCTTGCCGCCATTCGGAATTTCATACGTGTGGCTGTTTCTTGCGTGACCTACCTGCGTGGGCTGTGCAACGACGAGTCGTATCAGCCGCGGCAATTTCTCGGTCTGCAGCTCAAACAGTTGGTGCGGTCGTCGCCGGAGGCCGATGTCATCTCGCAGTGGATGGAAGATGGAGCGTTCGACGCGCTCAACAAGGGATACTTGAAGGCGCTGTCGCTCTGCATTTACACCCCAAATTGCACCGAGCTGCTTGAGAGCTACAGCTTTGCCTTGGCATACACCCCGGACGGTCAGCGGGCGGCCCTGACCTTTGCAGGTAATTCACAGAGCGAGGCGGCAATGCGTCTACCCACGACTGTAACTGCCGCCATGACACGAAGTCGAAGAAAACGGCACACGCGTCAGGAGGTTCAACAGGCACTTGCAGGTATTATCACAAAACTGGTTGAGGTGGTAGAGGGCTTACCGCCGCTCCTCTGCGAGCGTGTCTTGGCGATGCAGTTGACGTACTACGAAGATGTCACCCCGCCGACCTACGAACCGCCTTGCTTTGCCCCTGCAAGTGCGCACCTCGCTAGCCTTCATCAACAGGAGCAGCGTCAGAGTACCAACATTGCGTCGCTTGATACGGGTCATCATATGATGTCTATTACTATTCGGCACCGCTTTTTTGACAGGTTGTTGTCACAGTCTTCCATGCTGGCCGGAAACTCCACCTTGACAGCATCAACCATGAATACTACACACTCAGGTAAGGAGGAGGACGAGGAAGCCGCATTACACCATGCCACAGACACGAGCGCCGCGTGTACGCAGAAGTGTCCAGTGAAAAATTCCTCACTGAGTTGTCCGGCGGACCAGGCAACGACCTCATCCCCGTCCTCAAAGGACCTCGCTTTTTTTGTTTTTACATGTTTTGTGCTGACGAGGTCACCGGCTGTTTACCGGGGACGTGTCTCTACGGGAGAAATTGCCGAGTATCTTCGTGTCTCATGCCCACTAGAGATCACACTGGAGATGGCGCATCAAATGATGCGTCGGCTGGAGCTGGAGGGTGTTGTCTCTGCGGCAGCGCAGCAAGAGTGGGTTGTGCATCCACAGTCTGCTGCAGCACTTGCGAGCTCGCTCCTCGCCCAGCGGCAGGTGGTGCCGCTACTCAGCGCACAGATGCATCAGGACTTGGAACGCCTTGTCAAGGGAGACGCCACGACACGAATGAGCGTTGTTGCTGGGCGTAAGCGGCAACGCGCCAATGCGTGACAGCTTCCAATGCTTTGCGCAATCGTTTTTTAGTTGTCGTTCTTGCTCGTTTCGTTTGCTGAACTAGAGGTTTACTTCTTCAGTTTTTATTTGGTATTCTTTTTTGTTCTTTTTTTCTATAGGGATGGGGAGGTAAGAAAAAGGAAGTTGCAAATATACGCAAATGCGGGGGTTGTGGGGAACAGAGAGAGAGCGAATGGGAGGGACGGGTCGCGGGAGGTGGGGCTACCTGTGGAAACTCTTTGCAGGGGGCAGCCTCGCGTCTCCAATGCAGTCCGTGCGCGCATGCGTGGCGGTGCGCGTTTCATGTTTCTCTTCTTCTTTTTCTTCTGCCAAAGGTGCATTTTGTGCAAAGTGACATTAGAGAAATGCGGTCGCGGTGCTGCGTGCCCGTGGCAGCAATCCCCTGCGTCCCTCAGCTGCGGGTGCAGTGTCGGCGCTATCACGGTTTTCAGTTCGCCGGCTTTCATGGGTGGAGGATTCCGTACGATGGCAAGACGAGAGTGACAAAGGAGGAGCTTGAGGGCACACGCTACTTCACACAACGTCCCAAGGAGAAGTGGGACTATCATCGAGTAGATGAGAACATAAATTCCTCTTCCGAGTTTCGCCGGACGCACGATAGACCTGCGTTCGAGCAGGGCATGCGTGAGGACAACTCCACTATGGACCACGGCGACATGCATATCCCCAAGAAGTATCGCCTGTATGAGTACTTTGATGAATATACAAAGCCTGGGGTAAACAAAAAGGTGGCCGCCTGTCAGGCGGTAAAGGAACAGTGGGATGCAGATGAATTTTATTACCCCGGAGAGGCGTGGCAGCAAAATCGTCCTAGTTTCCGTAGCGCTCCCAAAGAATTATTAAATCGACAAACCTGGTATCACTGGTCAGACACCATCATGAAGTGGGATGAGATCCAGCCAACAATTCGCACAAGATCGTGGAACCCGGACTGGCCTCCTCCAGGTTACACTGTGCCAAAGTTACAGTGTAAAAAGGAGTTTGTCTTTGGTGTGGAAGAGCCTGGTCTTGTTTCCGAGGTGGAACGCTACAACTGGTTTCGATCTTGGAGTGATAGTAACATGCGTTGTGGTTGGAAAGACGTTTGGCTCTTTGGGATGCTGTTTGGCACATTATACTATCTGGCTCGCAATGCGCTTGACATAGTTTCCATGAGGGCCGTGATGAGTAACATGTACTACCCTGGTCGGCAGTTTGTACGCCCCTTTGGTGTCCCGAAGGACTGGGAAAAGGGTTTTTTTTGGTGGCAACGTCCGTTGGAGGAATTTCCTAATCAGGGCGAGGTTTGGTACATGAATGAGGCCCGATTCAAATACATCAATTACATCAAGAAACGCGACGCTCAAGAAAAGGTCTTGGCGGAAGCCGAGGCGCAAGGGGTATAAAGTATAAGTAGCGGAGAAGTAGAAGACTGCTAGGTGGGCGTGCAAATAGGAAATAAAGGAAAGGAGCTGGGGGAAATGAAAATAGCACTCCGGGTTCGTACTGGGAGAAGCAATTGGGATAGAATCGAATAGGGAGCTTGTGGGAATGGGGAAAGTTTTCGGTTTTTTTTTATTTGGGGGGTGGGAGTGCTTTCCTTGTGATTGGTTGATGTTTCCCTTCGTCTTGTCGTTTTTATTTTTGTTTGTTGGCGTCGCTCTCGGTCGCAGAATGTAAAATGAGTGTAGCTTGCGTTTTTTTACTTCTCTGTGTGTGGCTGTTTGTTTGATTTTTAGCTGGAGGTGGCAGACATTGGTGGAGCTTGGCTCTTTTTTGCTGCTGCTGCTCTGTTTAGCGAGTCGTCGAGTTTAGAAGTGCGAGAAGTGTGTTGGATGGGAACTGCTTTATTTATTACAATGCGCCTGTTTCTGTTAATAACGCCTGCGCGCGTATCCTAACGGCCTCGCTGCTTTGCTTCCATAGCAATAAGCGGTGTGTGCGCATGTGTGTATGTACAAACTACCTGCATTACCCTTACGCGGTTTCCCGCACACATATTTGACTCTTTTTTTTTCTTCATTATTATTTGCTCCCTCTCACGCTTAGCCTCACGGGTAAACTTGGGATAGTTGAGTATTGGCAGTTGCGTCGTCTTTTGAGACGGCGCTGTTAGTTCCGCGGGGTCAATGAATTCGAATTGGTTTGATGCTTGCGCGATTGTGCAAGCGCACGAGGAGGAACGGGAAGAGGAGGGGGCGGGGAGTACCATGGGGGTGATGGAGTTTGAAGGGGCGAATGAGACGCAGGCAACGTCTTCCGGGGGCCTAGACGAACCCTTGGGGGGCAGCAGCTCAGAGTCAATTTCCACCTCTCTGTTGTCGTGGGCTCTTGCTGAGTCTGATGAAACTCAGGACTCCCCTTCGCAAACTGGTCACTATTCTTCTTGTAAAGCGCATCAGGCAGTGCCGTTCGTGAAGAATGAGGAAACGTTTACAGTGCCAGTGGGTCTTCCAGAGAAGATGTGGGCCCCTGGAAAACCGCTGCGCATTTCGTATGTTAGTTGGAACATGGGTCATAAGAGTCCCAATTTGGGGGAAGTTGCGAAGTACTGCATTCACCCCAATGCTCATATAGTCGTAGTGTGCACGCAGGAAAACGGGAAGCGCCTGTTGGTTAAAAAAGATCGGAATGAATGGGAAAAACATGTTGCCCGCACTTGTCTTCTTGAAAAGTATGTGCTTCTTGGCCGTAAAGAGCTGTGGTACATACAATTGCTTGTGTATGTTCGTAGAAAAGATGTAGCGTCATACATCCGGTGCATTGGTACCACTAGTGTAAAAACGGGAGTCGCAAGAGGTCTCTGTGGCAACAAGGGAGGCGTTGCCGTAGCGTTGTCCATTTCCATGACACCCGCGCCTTTGCAGACACGTTCAGAAAGGCTAAGTAGCAAGACTGCCTCTTCTTTTAGAGATCGTATGAAGTCGTGTTCCCCCCCTGTAAAAGTAGGCCGTGGCGCCGCAAAGGTTCGTGAGGAGGCTCCTCTCGGCGGCAAAGAGGCGTCGAATATTACGCTGCTCTTCATAGGGGCACATTTGGCGGCCCATCAAAAAGGCGTGCAAATGCGAAATAAGGACTACCTTTCCATCGTGAAAGGGATGTATGCTGCGTTTCAAAAAAGTCCAGGCTTCTTTTGGAGGAAACACGTCGTGCCCAAAGGCCATGCCAATGACAGTGCTGACGGGCTCGAGAGCGTGGGTGGTGGGGAGGACGAGGAAGCCTCCTTGCCGCAATGTGTGTCTGACGCGGGCAGTGAGGGTGTCTCTTTCGGTGGCGACGAAGATACCTCGCTCCTTGGCGTCCCGCCCGCCGAAGCGCAGGCTGCCTCGCCGCTTTACCACGATGTCACGGAGGAGTTTGATCTCGTCTTTTTTGGAGGCGACCTCAACTACCGCATCAATGGCACCCGAGGAGGCATTGAGTGTTTGATTGGAGGCAGCAAGTACATCCGTTTCGTTCTCGCCGACTGCGATCAACTGAACATCGAGCGGGCGAAGGGCCTTGTTTTTCGTCGCTTTCGTGAGGGAAAACTTTTTTTTCGCCCAACGTACAAGTACGAAATCGAGCAGGACGTGTACAACTACACAAATAAGACGGATCGCAGGCCGGCGTACTGCGATCGTGTTCTTTACAAGAAGGGGCGGGAGTCTAGGGCGGGGAAGGTGAAGATAAGCCTCTACACCGATGTGCCGCAGGTTCGGACAAGCGATCATCGGCCAGTCGTTGCCATATTTGACGTTGCGACACATGTGTATCGACCTTCTTAGTCATGCTGCTCCCCTCAGCAACTGGAAATATGGTAGTCCTTGTTGGTGTTTTCTTTTTTTCACCCCCATTATAAATGTCTCTTGTTTTTTTCGTCTTCTTGTTCGGTTGTTTCTTTTTGCCTAGTTTTCAGTCTGGCCGAGGTAGCAAGCGGGACTTTGCCTGCATTTACAGTTATAAGGGGTTACGCGAAGAATGTATGGTATCATTGATTTTTATTTGTTCGTTTTCTTTCTGTGCATTCTTTTCCTCCCCCGTTCCCTGGCCTTTCCCCGCAATTTGTTCGTGCTGTTTTCTGGTCGCTCTGGCTCGGTGCCACGTGGGCCAAAGTGGATGCATGCGAGGGAGTCAAGCTACATGCATAAAATTTGCCAACCGTCAACAATATAAGAAGGGCCCAGTAATGCCTTTTTCTCTGGGCCGTGGTGGGTGGGTGTTGGAAGCGAATATGGATTGATGACTTGGGAGGGGGAGGGGGTGCCTTGTGTGGGATGCTGCGTGGTGTGAAGAGCTGCAGTGGTTTTCTCTTTTACTTTTCTATTATCCCATCAACTTGAGCGGCGTGCAGCAACGATGTGAAAATCAGCTTGCTCGGTTAGCGAGGCTTTCATTTGGCCGCCCACGCAATTCCCTTTTGAAAGCTTTTCTTTTTTTTTTCTTTATTACTGTGATAACATGATTTTTATTCTAGAGCAATACTGCGCCTAATGTTGCTATTTCTGAATAACCACGGAAATGAGGTAAAACTCGCTAGAGGAAAAATATCTTGTTTTTTTTTTTGCTCTGTTAATGAAGTGAAGAAGAATTCGAATCAGCTGTCACAGACCTATGAAACAAAATGATGTTTTGGCATGACTTCTACGTGGCGCTGGCCGGATGGGACACGCTTCAGCCTTTACGCAGCCTCCACCTCGAGTCACTTTTTTCCCTTTTTCCTTTTCCCCCCTTTTTTTCCCACTTTACTTACCTCATGTATATAGATGTGTGTGCGTGTGCGTGTGTGGTTTTCCCCTTGTCTCTGTCTCTCTGTCTGTGCTCTACGGGAATGAAGAGTGACGGACGTGGGGCAGGCACAACTTCTCCTGTCTCGCTGCCGTGGGCCAAAAGAAAAGGCCTCTCCGCACTCACGCTGTAACACGACCTCTTTTAAAACATCATTTTCTTCTGATCCTCTCAAGGGGTGTGCGCTGCAAGCCATCGCAGATTCAGGAGTTCTTTCGGCTCAGGAGAAGAGGAAGCGGAGAGACGTGAGGAGCATTACTGCAACAATAGCAACAACAAAGATCAAGGAAACATGGCGTACTCTCGTCGGGCCTCTCACGCCGGCAGTTGGTACGAAGGCTCGGCAACGATGCTTAAGGCGACAGTGGACGACTTGCTTGAGAAGGCGAAGGACTTTCAGTGGGCTGGTGGTGAGACTCTTGTCGGCGTCATTTCACCACACGCCGGAATCAGCTACTCCGGCACAACCGCAGCACACGCGTATAAGGCCCTGTGTCATTACATCTACGGGCCTAAGGGAAACAACGTCTCTCATATTTTTTTGTTGGGCCCCGATCATCATCAAGGGTTTGAGGGCGTGCAAATCTCTGGCGCAGAGCAGTACGAAACTCCGTTTGGTGCAATTCCCATTGATACGTCGGTTGCTTCGGATGTTTATCAAGCGCTGAAGGCTGCCGGGGTACGAACAGCGCACATGTCGCAGCTCACCGACGAGGAGGAGCACTCTATTGAAATGCAGCTGCCATTTATCTCACATATCCTGCACTACCCACCGGCCGGTGCGACACGGGCAAAAGATCGAATTCGACTCGTTCCAATGGTGGTTGGCTGGACGGACCGTGAGGTGGAGGAACGCATGGGCGCTGTCCTCTCGTCCTACGCTCGGGACCCACGCAATATATTCGTGCTCAGCTCCGACTTCTGCCACTGGGGCTCAAGGTTCCAGTACAAGTTTCACTATCAAAAAACGGATTACCCCGCAATTGCCGACGCCATTATCGCCATGGATCATGAGGGGATGGAATGGCTGGAAAAGCGGGATATGAACGGTTGGTATGACTATCTTAACAAAACACGTAACACTATTTGCGGTCGGCGGCCCATTTCCGTAGGCATAGAGGCCATAAAAAACGAGAAGGCGACATCTGTGCGCTTCCTACATTACTCGCAGTCAAACCGCTGTTCAGGCCCTTCAGACTCCTCTGTCAGCTACGCCAGTGCTGTTATCACGCATAGTTGAAGTAGAACTTAGAAGGAAAGGAGTTGTATATCACTAAAATATATATATATATATGAGTTATGGAGTTGCTTGGGAGTGATAAGTAGCAACACAATGATCACCTAAATTGATATTGGTTGGTTTTGTCGTAGGGACTGGGGGGGGGGGGGCTAGGGCTCTTTTTCCCTCTTTCTTCTTTGAGTTGCTTTGCTGATGCTACTGTGGGGTTGCGTTTTCGCTATATATATATATATATATATATATCTGTATTGACAGTTTTTTTTATGATTATTATTAGCCTTGCTTTTTGTGTGGGTGCCGCGTGTTATTGATGCGTTGGGTATTGTGAAACGTTAATTGTTTGCGCGAAGAAGTTTTTTTTACAACAAGTAAGCGCCAAACAGCAGAAAAGGAAATTTCAACTTAGTGACTGCTTTTGCGGCCACGTAGCATCCTTCTGATGATGCATGGCCATGGTGGTCAACCTTATCTCTCTTTCTCTCTTTCTACCTCTCTCTGCATCTCTGGGCGTGTGACTGTGTCTCTGCCTGGATATGGCCCGTGTTGCCTCTTGGAGAGAAGCAGGGGATAAATTCTTGCGGCTCCTCGGACGGGTCGGCATGCGAGACGCAATAACGTCGTCGCCTGGGGCCTTGATGGTCTTTGTTCCTCTGGACTTCTTGGCGCGCGGTTGGCGTCGCCGTCAGAATTCCACGAATGGACGCCCGTAGACTGCGGCGCCGTGGGCCATGCGGCTGCGGTGGCTGGTGCATGGCTGAAGGAAACTCGATGCGCACTCTCCTCTGCCTGCCTTTGTGTTGTTGTTGGTTTTTCTTCCTCTCTCCCCTGTCTGCCGTTTCCGGGCATCGCCGAGTTTTTGCGCCGCCCTCGCTGAGGCCCAGGGCAGCACTGCTCTCTTTGTCCCTTTCTTTTCTTTCTGCTTCTACGTTCCCCCCCCCCTCAAGGATGAAAATAGAAGGAACAAGGCCTAAAGGTGGAATTTTATTTGGCTGCAAGAAGGCAAGCAAACAAAAAGCGTCTAGCAGCCTTATTGCGCCGACAAAAACGCCGAAATTCAAGCTTTCATTACGTAAAGGGGCCACGGAGACGCCGCCCAAGCCATGAAGAACCGTCAGCGTCGGGCCCCCCCTAACGCGGAGGTGGCGTTCGCCTACGAGCTCTTTGGGAGCATTGATATCAACAACGATGAATTCCTTAACTTCACTGGTGAGAGGGGGCAAAAGCACAGCAGGGAGATCACGCAGTTCCTGCAAAACAAGAGTTTTGCACAAGGAAAAGATTCTGCGACGAGGCAATCATCGTATTTGCAGTTTCAGCAGACTATCGACACGGAGAATGGAGAGACGTTCCAAAGCAACGGGAGGAGCAACAGCTTTGCCAACGTCGAAGACGCAGCACAGCACATCTGGTTCCTCTCGCAGCTCTCTGATGAATCCATGCCGTTTGCCCGCAACTTTACAACAGCTGACCAGTTTCTGCAGTACGCGGCGAGTCATTCGCTCTTCTCCACCGGTCCGGAGGGGGCATTGGAGAAGGCACCCGAAGGACCCGCCAAGGCGGCGAAGTGGCTGGACATCCAGACAACGAATAAGTCCCTCCTCACGGAGATCCTCTCACGATTCCCCTTGTCGGAGGACACCCTTGACCGCTGCTGCTACCTTGACGACATGGATCGCCACCTCGTGCACTCCACACTCGGCTACTTCTTCTTCAACCTTCTCTGCACTCCCAATACAGCAGAGGATGAGGGATGCCGCCCCCGGCAGAAGAAGAGCGCTATGCAGCTTTATCTCGAAGCGGTCATGAAGGACGAGCCGCGCTCCTCCGTAACCGCGGCGGTTCCAGTGGCAGTTATCGTGTTCCCTGAGTGGATTATAACGGTGCATGAGAAACCCTTTCATGAGCTTGGCGATTTGCTGAAGTTTTTGCAAATCAACTGTGGTAATCAGGGCTCCAACGCGACAACGCGGCGTTGCAGGCAGGTTATGAGCTCCCCATTCATTTTTGCCAGCCTCTTTCAAATCGTCGTGGGACACCAGCTGGACACCGTCTCATTAATATCTTCGCTGGATCGCATGGGAGATCATGTGTTTACGGTGGAAAAGGATGCCAAGGTGAAGGAGGAAGTGATGCAGCGCATTACAAATGCTCGACGCTCCTTTGCGGAGTGTACTGCGGAACTCACGCGACGAGAACACATTGTGTCCACCCTCTTGCAGCCACACATGGTAACTTCTTTTCTGACGCAGGAAAAAACGGTCTGCCACTTGCTTGAGACTTCGCGGGCACATCTCCTTCGTTTGAGCGACGAGATTGCTGACGCTCGAGATACCCTGTCCGTGACGAATTGGTACCATAACACAACGCGTACTTGGAAGATTCTCCGCTCTGGAAATAGGGCCACCCGCCAGATGCTTCTTCTACTGGAGATAACGAACATCTTATACCCCGTCATCGCTGCCCAACAGCTCTTTACCATGAATGTTCCTGTGCCGTTTGACAGCGAACGGGGGCCGAAGGTGGAGAACACACGAACGTTCTTCGTACTCTTGGGGGCCATACTGCTGTACACGCTGCTCTGCGGAAGAGCCGCCTACGCGTTGGTTCACCGAAGGCGGTGGAAGACGCGTCTGTTGGCATAGTGAACTTATGAACTCGACGTAAACACACGCACACAAAAGATATATATATATATATATATCCCTGTCATCTGTACTTGCGTGGAGCTAAATTCTCTTGTTGTGTTGTGGGGCGCCGACCATGTATCAAGGAGTGGGGGTAGGGAGATATAGTGAAAGAGGAAATATCAAGTGGTTCAGGCATCCTTCTTTTTTTTTTTTCGTATTGTGCTGTTATGTGCTTTTGGTTTGTTTAAGACTAATGTGTCCAGATAAAGCGAAAAGGGGCACTCAAATAAATAAATAGTGGCCCTCTTACTCTAGCTCCAGGAAAACACACACGCACACACCATTCCGCTCTGTTTTCCTCTTTTTCTAGCCCCTTTTCCCACGTGTTTTTTTTTTAATTGGCGACGTGCAACGTGGTCCGTCCAGTTGAGGTGCTGGGCTTGTGTGTGCGCCCTACGCAAGTTCTAATAAAGTTAATGGAAAGGAACAAACAAGCAAACGAAAAGGAGGAAAGCGAGCGGGGCAAACCGTGACAGGGAGAAGGAAAGACAGTGTAGCATTCTCCTGTACGTTGTGCAGTTGGTGCGGTCCGTCTGGCGCAGGAGTGAGGAGAGGAGTGGGCGCGGCGAGAGTGAGGGAAAAATAAGCAGCGAACCAGAAAAAAAAAGGCAAAAAATAGCGTAACTGTGGAAGCACGTTCGTGTGGGGAGGATTATTTGTTCTTGTTTTTTCTCTATTTCATATTTCATTGAGGACGGCAGCCTGTATGTTGACTGCGGTCGGTTTTTTTTTCCTCCACTTCCTGTGCTCGCTTCGCCCTCTACTTTACTTTTGCGTTCTCTTCTGCCGTTGGCCTGTGTCTCTTCTCTCCTCTCTTCCTTCGCCACCACAAAAAATGTCGTTATAAATAGCAGTTCGGGTGGACGGCCACCGGCAGTAACGGGCGTGCTGAGCAAAACGAGAGAGAGAGATATAGAAAAAGAGGGGCAGGCACCACTGCAGGTGTACTGTGTAACGTTGGGCCGCACAAAAATAGCTGGGGAAGGGTCTCTTTGCTGGGGGGGGGGGGAGCGTAGACGGAGGATAGAGAAAGAAAGCGTCCGGGCGAGTGTAACTGGAAGCCGGAAGAGAATGCTCCGTCTTGCGTGCACGAGACGTCGTCAGGCGGTCGCGCTCTTCACTATGAAAAGCTTTCGAGCCCGGCAGAAGATCCTGCTCACTCCACAGAACGTAGCTACTGTCTTCTCGGAGAAGTTGGACCCGCAGGATCGTTTGCTGCGGCAGTCTAGTGTCGGCGCAGGGGCTAGCCGTATTTTAGTGCTTGATAAAAAGCAGCGCGTACGTGGGGTCTACCACCCTCTGATGTGCCTCCCGTACCCGATTGATGGCGCTGCTGTGTTGGGAATTCCTGTGGAGTCGTACCTGCAGCGCATCCAGCAAAAACAGAAGTCTGCTGAGGCTTTGGCGGAAGGGTGCACATTCATCGTGGTTGTTCATGCCAATGGACTTGGTATTGCTGTCTATGCGGCAGATGGAAGTATCCGTTTCCCCCTAGTGAACGTAAAGCTTCCGGCGCAGCGAGCTACGGGTCTAGGCATGATGAATGAGCGCGACATGCTTCCTTTTTTGGAAACGACAAGTCTCGTCGAAGATTTTGCAGAACTCATGACGGAGACCTATACGGAACATGTACACGACTGTAGCACCTTCTTTTTCTTGACAAACGCCAATACCTCCATTTCCTTCACTGGTATGAGGCGGGCGTGGCAAGTGCGGGGCTACGCTGACACCTCTCCTCTGAGCTTTGATGACAAGCGGTGGGTCTCGCTACCAGACATGGTTGCCCAACGGGATCGTGCCACGTCGCTCTACTGCCGCGATGATGAAGGCGACAAGGTTGTTAGTAGAAAAGGACTCACCGCGGGGGTGAAGATAGGAATCCTGGAGCTCGACACATGAAAGACATTATAACAGCTAACAAGGAAATTAGACTGCCAAAAGAACCCGGCGAATATCTTTCCACAAGTATGCATTTATTCTTTATTTTATATTCCCGTTGCTGCCGTAGTATTTAACTTGCATGCGTGCGTATATGTGCATCTGCGTATGCCGCTTTTATTTCTCTGGTCCTACGTCATTATTGTTGTGCTCTACTTTTTACGCGCTGCTGTGGAAGAAATGGGACGCGTGAGCGGAGGTAAAGTGAAAATAGAAGAACCGAAGAAAGACGGAGGGAATAGAGTCTGCAGGTGGGAAAGAAAGGCATGTAGGTGTGGAGCCTGCCCCAAGCACTTTACAGAGTGAGGAGAGACTAGCCACGCCATTTCACCATTGTCGCTCACACCTCCTTTTGGTGTGTGCGATGTGGTGGGAGGGAGGGCGGGCGTGGAGTTCTTGCCTTCTCGCGCCCCTCTATCTAGCACCCTGGCAACCACACGTGAATTGTGCGTGCATCAGAAGTTCCGTTTTTTTTCTTCTAATTTTATTTTCTTCTTGGTGTTGTTGCGGGGAAGTAAAGTAGGCGGGATGATGAGAGTGCCTGTTGGTGTCATAAACAGCCGCCTGAAAAGGAATGGCGGGGGTAGATGCATAGAGTGAAGGATAAAGAGAACATAAAACGAAAGGAAACAGCCACGTAAGATGCATAGAGGTCATGAGGGGTCGAACGGAAAAGGGGTGGGGAAAAATAAATCGGGCAGTATTCGCCTACACACCTCTTGCTGCCGTCGTCCTTCTGGGTTCTCCTGCCACTGTAACTGGCGTGGCCCAGTACGGTTTCATGTTGCTGTTGTTGTTTTGCACCCCTCTCTTTCTTTCCCTTTTTATGGCAAAGTGTCTGCTTCGCAGGAGTAAGACAAGACAAAAAGGAGAGAAACGCGTTAGTGCAAGCAATGCGTCGCGGATGTCAAACTTTACTCCCCCTCTTCCCCTCTTTATGTCCTCTAGTCGCATCGGTCCGGGGCATCATTGCCTGCAAGGGCATCGTGGAGAACCGCATTACAAAGCACTACTCTAACCGCACCGTTGCGGAGGCCAAAGCGGAGCGGGAGGCACAAATAGAGAAGTCCAGGCACCCCAACCCGCGCAATCGCAAGGAGGAGCTGAGCCACCTCACACACCACTGCAGCTATGAGTATGTCCCTGAGTTTCAGCGGTGGGCAAACGATATGATGGCTGTATACAGTGATCCTCAAGGGTATGGGCACGACATGGCATATCATTACCACCGCATCTGGAAGGCGAAAAGCCCCACGCGGCGTGGCATTGAGGACGGCAGCGGAGCTTTTGAGGTATGCAAGATTCATCCCAAGTAGATCCCCTGATTCTGGCGGTTGAACTTCTCTCTTTCTCGCAATTTTTTTGTATGTGTGTGTGTGTCTGTGCGATGCAGTGGTGAGGGGAATTAGGATAGAGGAATGGGATGGATCTGGGCTTGGGGGGAGTCAAGTTTGGCTGCTCACCACTAGCACGCACAGAGTGAGGGGGGGAGGAGAGAGAGAGTTGGCACACAAGCATGAAATCGATGGTGAGAGAGGCGCGGAAATGCTGTTCAGCTGCCTTATTATTATTACTATTGTTGGTACGTTGTGTATCACGACGCTTATTTCCTCTACTTTGGTTCATGTACTCCGAACTGCAGTAATTTTAGTTTTAGTTTTTTGTTTTTGTTTTACGCTATACGCATCTTCGCCCGGGAGTTTTCTCTCCGCGTCCATTTGTGTACATGAAATGATAATTAGATGACAGACCGTGTCTTTCATGAAGTAGTGATTGAAAATTGTTCTTCTGTTTTTACTCTTCTTCCATTTTTACTGAAGTGTACGTTGATCGCCTCGAAAAATGACCACGGCGCGTCGCGGCAACTCGCCGCAACAAGGCAATCGGTTGAAAAATCAGGGTGGAGCTCCCGGCATAACTCATTGCGCCGGTGGATTGCCGCGTCTACCATGGTATGGCCTTTTCCTCATCTTCCTATACCGTCTGCTGCTCTGCTTGGGCACCAAAACTGCAGAGTCGCCAGACGAGTGGTGGCAGAGCACAGAGATCGCCTACTATATTGTATTTGGGAAAGGGCATCTCTCGTGGGAGTGGCACGCCGGCTTGCGTCCCGTAATATTTCCGGGCATGTTGGCCGTTCCTTTCTTTTTGTTGAAGATACTGGGTCTTGACTCAACTTGGGCAGTGTGGTTTATCGCGCGTTTTGTGCAAGCATTTGTCGTGACAGCCATCGATTTTTTTGTCTTTCGTTTGGGAGCACTGCTGGATGTGGAATTGCGAAAAGCAACAAAAAATAAACAGCGTACACCAGATTTGCCCAATCCAATTGTGCACGTCTCAATGCAGGGGCTGACGGAGGGGAGAAAGTTGGGTAGGTCCGTTGCGTACTTCGCCTTGTTACTCTCTTTGAGCAACTGGTATATGGCGTTTGTTGGAGTTCGTGTTTATGGCAACGTGCTGGAAGCCTTACTGGCGCTCATGGCGGTACAAGCAACAAATTATGTGGGATTTCTTTTACTGAGTGGATTGGCATGTGCCATTCGCGCTACCTCTGGCATTGTTCTCTTTCCACTCTTATTTATCCATGCATTCTGGGCCGTGCGGGAAGGAGGGTTACGTAGGGGTCTGATGCATATTACCTTCCGTGGGCTTTTGATCTTCATGCTTGTATTTGGTGCTCTTGTGCTGTGTGACAGCTTGTTCTATGGGCGCCTGATCATTACGCCTATTGTTTTTCTACGCTTCAATGTGCTGCAGAACGCCAGCCGCTTTTTTGGGGAGCATCCATGGTATTTCTATTTATTTCCCTCCCTCCCCGGCCTACTGGGGCCACATTTTATCTTTACACTCTTCGCACCCCTTGTGTTGTACCTTGACAAAACGAGTAGGGCGGTGAAATGGCACATATTTGGTTTGTTTTGTGTTATTGTGTGGCCTATATTTTGTTATTCCTTAATTTCTCACAAGGAGAACCGTTTTATTTTGCCTGTAATGCCATTTTTTTTTGTGGTGACCGCCTTCGTTTTGGCACGGTGGTACGATAAGTCACGCGCTGTGCGCGGTCTTCATCGCGCCTTTATTGTGGTTAACGTTACTTTGGCCCTCGTGGGGGGCTTCGTGCACCGCAGAGGCGCGCTGGACGCGATGTCAGATTTGCGTTCTGGGCCGAGGGTTGACCGTGTCGACATCGTTGCACCCTGCTACACGACCCCCGGGTACAGCTTTGTGCACGGTAAGGTGAATCACCTGGGCCTCATTGACTGCCCTGTGCACCTCAATGCCGAGACGGGGCTGCCAGAGCTCACCGAGGACAGCGTGTTCCGCCGGCACCCGAAAGACTACGTGTTATGGAAGTATGACGGGACACACACGTTTAACGTAAGTTATCCCGAGCAAAGACGCAAGGCTGATGAATTGCGGCGAGTAGTTTCGCCCAGGTCAGCACCGTACCCGGACGTCATCGTGGCGTTTCGCGACACCGCCAAAAAAATACGGTGGTGCTTCTTGGAAAAGCACGGGTACAAACTCTACAGGTCGTTTTTCCACACGCCCTTGTCACTCGAACCCTGTGAAGACGTGTATTTAGAAATGTGGGTTCGAAAAATTGTGAAAAATGGTTGAGAGATGGACAAACATTTTTTGCATTAGATGATTTTTTTTTCTCTCGTGATGAAGGGCTAATATGGTATGAAGTAGCGCCGCTGCTTCCTCTGGAGGCAAAAGCATATAGAGGGGTTAACCTCTTCTTCTTAATGGTATTTTCTCTTGTTTCAGATACCGGACCATTCACTCACGCGGTCAATATGTATGCATATTCTGCGTGCTCTGCGCACAGATGTTGGTTTGCACACGTTTTTTTTATGTGTGTGTGTGTCTTCGTTTTGTCGTTGTTGTTTGCTTGCTGGCTGTTTTTCTTTTTCTTCCGGCCTTAGCGCGAGGGAGGTGTGCACGCGCGGCGAGGGAACTTGGCGAGGGCCGCGGCAATGTCGGAGGCGGAGCAGGCGCGAAAGGCGGCCGTTGCCTTTCATCTTCAGGAGCAGGATGACTCCGTACTTTGTGCCTTTGGGCGCGACTTTTTTGACGGGGCCCGCAGGGGTGCGGCGTGTGGTGCCGTCTGCACGGCTTGGCTCTCCCGTCGGATGTTTGTCATGTTGCGGGATGACTTTAGAGACCACGAGGCGAGTCTCCCACAGCAGTTGCGCCACGGCAAGTGGACAATTTCACTTGGCTTTCGAACCCGACCGTTTTTGACGCTTGGCTGTATTTCGCTGGCGCTAACGACGCTGATGAAGTCGGCCAAGTTTACACTTGCAAACTACCGCTACCAAGAGTTTGTCGCGGACGACATTGGGTTCACATTGCTGGAACAAATGTGCGCCGACTCACCGGAGGGACGGGAGGAACTTGGGCGATTGCTTGATGAGGCCTTGACAGGCCTGAAGGCGGGAGCCGCGTCGCCCGCGGACGGCGACGGGAATGGTCGCGGGCCCCATCACAAAACTCTTACGTGTACACTCATGCAGGGGGCGTCGCCGCTGGCTGAGCGAGACCCCCCGTCCTTCTGGGATGGTGCGGCGGTGGGTCTCCTGGGCTCTGTCATGGACTGCTACCTGCCCTCTAAGCCGCCCCGCAGCTACTACGGCATGCGGTGTGGGATGGGGATGTGACATTAGTAAAAGAATAGCGACCATTCGATCTCTTTTTATTGCTTTTTTTTTCTTCTCTTCTGCGGAAATGGATCTCGCGGCGCATGGGGATGGATGCAGCAGTTTTTGTTGTTTTTTTTTTGTCACGCGAATATTGCCTCATGAAGGGGAGGCTAAAGTATTTCTTTCCTCCGTTTCCTCTCCTCCGCACCCCCGCACGCTCCCTCCCTCCTCTTCTTGTGCTTTGCTGCCTGCGTCCACACGCACGCACGCACACACGCATCCTTTATTGGTACAGATGGGGAGGGGGAGGTAGGTTGCCAGTACAATGGTGGTCTTTGTTATGGGTGCGCCAAGAGCCAAAAGTGGGGCCCCAATAAGCCGTCCGATCATATCTACGTTACGCGATGTTTCGTATCCCCAATGGGTGTCCGTCCCTAGTGACTCACAGCGGAGCTTGGAGGCCTCACGCCCCACGTTAAATGCTTCTCACTCCTACAACTGTCTCAGCCTGAGTAGTCGAGCAACACCCATGTGTCGTCAAAGTCACACGGATACCATTGATGGGGTATTTGAAGCTGAACGACTCTGTGAAATTCGCAGGCAAAAGGAACTCATGTTGCAGGCATGTTTGCTTGAAATTGAGGAATTGGTGAGCATAAACTCTCAAATAGGAAGAGCAGAAGCCTCTCCGCTTGAAACTGAGTCCATGATGTCTTTGTCCCGTCAGGCCTCACCATGGAAGCTTTCCCATACCCCATCTTCCCTTCATACCGGGCGGGCGTTGCTCTACATCCACGAGTCACCTCAGTCAGTGCCACTCGTGCCTTGCCGAGGTGATCTTGTTTACGCCACTCTCAAACACCGATCTGTTGCCATCGGTAGCCCCTCTGAATGTTTTTTGCTGCTGACGCCGACACTGCGGTTGCCCCCTATGGATGCGAAACTGTTCGCCATGATAGTACTGGAGGAGATGCTGGCACGGCACGAGTTGTTGCTTCGCGAGGACCGCTTGTGGCGGCGAATTAATGGTAAAGAGGCGGGCGCCTTTTTGCGAGTGCAGCTGGTCATCCGCACCGGTGCACGCTTTCATCACTCGCGGCTCTCTACCCTGAAAGACATACGGCGCAAGGAGTTGGAGTACCTGAGAGATGGTATTTGCCGGCGTGCGGATAAGCAGGAGGAGGAGCATCGCATATTCATGCACCAACTACCACCGGAGCGATTGCCACCGCTTAAAATCCCAACTTTGACCTCTGCTGGGCAACCGTACGGCCGTACTGCTGTGGACCACGCAGTCGCGCGAGCGTTAGCGGTGGAAGAACAGACGTGGACAGCGACAGCAAGGCGGAAGAAATGTTTTTTCCCCCCTATTGTTTAATATGAAAAGAAATAAAAGAAGAACTGCAATAATAAACAAAAAAATCTGTGATGTAAAAAAAAAATCATATACACGTATACTCGCAAAGCTGGTGGTTGTGTGTGCGTGTGGCACGGGAGCTTTCGGCAACGAGGTTTTTTGCCCTCAACGACGCGTTAGAGGCCCGTCCGTGGCCCTCCTCCCCGTTCCGAAGCCGGCCCACGTCACCCCACACGACAGAGCAAGGCAATACACAACAGCAGTCATGTCAGGAGGGCAAATTTGCCCTCGTACTTCGGCTACGAGTTTGTGTCTCTCCTCATGTTCCATGACATTAATAATTTTTTCTTTATTGTGTAAAGACAGATTTAGCGAATCGTAAACGTTTGGGAAAACAATGAAGGATGGTTGTTCTTTATATATATATATATATATATATATATATATATATACTTCAGCGCTTTTCGCTACTGGTTGCTAAGATGATGTTGGCAACTCTGTGTTGTTTGCCACCGTGTGGGGTTTGCAGAGCCTTTTTTCCCATTGGCTCACTATGGGGGGTATCTTGTTGTTGTTGTTGTGTTTTTTTTTTTGCCGGCCGATCCCTTTTGCCTCGCACCTTTGCACCGCCTACTTCTGTTTGATATGCTGAAGACGTGCCTGCCTGGAAGTTGTTCCCCCCCCCCCCTTCTCTTCCTACATATATACAAACGTATAAATATAAATAAATATAAAAGAACAGCAACGGGGCTGCTGGTGGGAGAAGGAGGAAATAATTGCAGATAAAAAACAACAACAACCACAACAACCACAAAAGGGGGGAAAAAGGCAACGTGACATCCGCACGCCAATGTTCCAGGCGTTTCCACTGCAGCACAAGAAGATGACGCGGCTTTCACTGCCATTCCTCAAGGTTGGTGCCTGCGAGGTATTGAACTCTGCCACTAGGGACCACATGAGCTCCTTCGCTGTCCACAACACACGCAACCGCGGCGCCCATGTTGTCGCGACCAACACTGGCTGTGGCAGCATCAGCCCCGAAGCTGTCGCCCCACCATCGACGTCACCTGTTCCGTTCATGTCAGATGTGGTGGCTGGCGGCTTGTGTGACAGTTTCACCGGAAGTCAGTGCTCTCGTTACATTGGGAACTATCTCGCTCGTGCCCTGGGTATTCACTGTGTGCTGCCGGAAGGCATCGCGCAGCTCCGCCGCGAGCTAAAGGAGGACCCTATTATCGATATAATGATGTCTGCGCTCTCTTGTGAGCGTTTGCTACACAGTAGAAAGTCACACACCGACAAAAACGCGCCGTTCGGGTTTCGTCGTGTGTTCTCTGAGCGGGAAATGCAGCAGTACGCCATGTTTGCCGATAATGCGTTTATGAATGCGTGTCGCAGCAGTGAGACATTGGAGGGGTTAACTGAGGAAAATGCGCTGCGGAATAGCGAGGCGGCCAACTGTGGGTGCCGCGCAGTGTGGTTCACAGCCAGCGTAGCACCTTTTTTGCCCCATGTAGAAGAGCAGCGCGAGCGAAAGCAGGAGATGCGCCAGGGCGATACCGCCCTACCTTCTATGCAAGGCGAAGCAAAAACACAAGGGTCCAAAAACACCGGGAATGGGTGCAGAGTCGCGCCGCCGACGTCACCCTTCTGCCTCGACGTGCTGGTAAGCAATGTTGGGGACTCACGTGCATTTGGTATAGCGCGCCATGTGCCGTTGTCGGGCGTCCGCGGTCCTTGGGACGCGACGCGGGAGCCTGTGATCCCGTTGAGCTCAGATCACAAGCCACTTCGAACGCAGGAGCTTCGTCGAATTCTTAGCGCTGGCGGAGTTGTGCGGTCTGACGTGGGCGATATCATTGACGGAAATCCTTTTTATAACGTCTCCAGAAGCTTTGGGCATTGGTCAATGAAATCTGACCCACGGAGACCACCGAGCGAGCAGAAAATTATTGCATTGCCAGAGTGCAGTTCCTGGGAAATGATGCCGGGGGATGTGTTGGTCCTTTGTAACCATGCGACGTTTGAGACGCGTTGCATGGAGGAATCCTCGATGGATGAGATTGCCAAACTTGTTGGGCGTGAAATTGATCGCGGGGCTGCTCCAGAAGAGGCTGCTGCCGCACTGTGCAACTACGCTGTTCGGTTTGGCGCCGGACACTCACTGCAGGTGATGATTGCCGTCGCGACGGCCGTCACCTCCGCTCATGCACCGTGCGAGGCGCCAAGGCAGGAATGGGTAGTTCCCGGACCCATCTACGCAGAGCCGTGCCGTCGGTCACCGGAGTACCGAAAAGCGTTACTGGTCGACTGTGAGCGATGTGGAGTGTCGTTGGCAGAACTTCTGGAATTGCGCTGGCGTCAAGTGAGAAACCTACTTCCATCCCGCCATGCTCTCCCATTGATGGCGTACTACGGGAAGGAGTGTTCCGTCCTGCAGCAAATGATGGACGAAGAAGCTCTCTTGTTCACGCATGGATCTCTGCCCCCTGAGGGCTGCAGTGAGGACGCGTTGGTGAAATATGACAAGGGGCAGATGCGGAGGACGTTTGAGAAAATCGCCAACTCGCTTCTGGCTCCAAACGGCCAGTCAGTGGCGGACAGTCCAGGCTGATTTCAGTAGTTAAGGGCTATCTGAAGCAATGAATGCTATTGGCGGAGGTTGGGGCGTGCATGCATTACTTTCCCCACACCGCATTATTGGCCTCCTTTTGCTTTCACTCCTCTTTGCTCATGAGACGGTAACAGAGGGAAGAGTTTGCCGCATGCTATCTGTCTGTGCCTCTCTCAGGCTCGTTTTTTTTTCTCTCTGTGTGTCTGTGTGTGTTGGGAGGTGCTGCTTTTTTTTTCTGGCTTCAACACTACCGAGGCCCCACCACCAACGGCACCACCGTAGCACGAGCACCACGGCGCGAAAAGCAAAGAAACCGAAGGCCAACTAGGAGCGTGGAAGTGACCGCGCCAAGCGGGGTATTACGACCTACGGAACTTGTTGCCTGAGGCAGCAACGTGGTCAAATACGTCGCTATGAGGGTGAATAGTGTGGCCGACAATAGGGCGCTTTTACAGGTCCTTTCTCTCTCAGAGAGTGCCCCGCGGACTCCTGCTGATATTCTCGCCAGCGCAATTGCAGGCGGACTTGTTAGGGTCTTCGCGGATGAGAAGAAACGATATATAGACGCGGCACTGCTTCCTTCTTCTCTTGACCTCACGACCTTGGCTACGTTCATTGCCGAAGGATTTTTTGCGCCGTTTCTTAGCTCGGCGCTAGGCGATCATCTGTCGCGGTACACGGTCCTGACAGAGTCTGGTTGCTTTGAGCCGTTGTCTCTGCCGGTGATTTTGTTTCCGGACTGTTTTTCGCCGCCGCCCCCCTGGCCAGACGTCGTACTTGCCAGCAACTCATCTTCTGATGGCCTTTCCGGGGCGTCTGCGTCCGCATTCCCGGCGGAGGTGGCTGACGTCCTGCAGCTTCACCAGCACCGTTCTCAAGTGGGACTGTTACTTTTGAAAAGCGTGAATGGTGTTTTGCGAGATGCGGAGGTGTGGAAATTGAAGATCACCAGGGAGAAGTCGGCGACAAGAAACTCTGAACTGGCTGCGATCAATGCTGTGGTGGCGCTCTTCTATGAGGTGAAGATGCTGCTGCTCTGCTGCATTGTGAGTTCCCAGAGGGCGTACGCGGTGGAGGCGGAGCCGCGCGCCAAGGACCCCAATTATGCACAGTATTGCTTCGCTGAACTCCTTCCGCGGGAAGAGCTCTGCAGGATCTTCGACCACCGGAGCCGGCCCTCCGCAGAGGATGTGGCGAAGTGGTACGACGCCAGGATGCAAACGCTGATTGGCGAGGTGCCTGTGAAGGAAAGTGAGATGCAAAAGTATATTAATGAGCTGCAGCGAGCATTGATGGAGGATGCGCGGCGAATAGCGGGGGCCCCGACGTCTCTTCTGCATCGCCCACACGATGCGGCGAGCACGACGCTCATTCACCTCCCGTGTGTTCACTCCGAACTTCCAAGTCTCAGCATACAACCCGGTGAGATGACGCTCCTGTTGTTTGACCCTACACCCGAGTCCCTGTTATTTGATGCAGAGCCGTCTAAGCTGTGCCTCCTCCTCCGCCGCTGCGCGTGCATGAGGCTGACGGTGCCGCAGCTGCGAGATGCGGAAATGCTACTGGCGAGCACCCCTTGGAGTCAGCTTCGCGATGTCGTCGTGGAGTCCGTGCAATACCATCTCTCTAACGATGAATTCGTGTCGCTCGTTCTCGAGAAGAATAGTTCCTTTCTAGTGATGCTGGTGCAGTGGCTGAGAGAGATCCCCACCGCTGTCGACGACAACGCGACCGCTGCGGGTTTGAGTGAGGCAAGACAGCAAGCGGCCTTGGGGGCGTCCATGGCAGACCACATCATTGAATACGTCATGTACTCCTCCCCCTTTTGGACCTGCCAGCGCACAGTTCATTCGTGGGTTGGTGGGCTGCGCTGCGCTGGGCGAGGCACTGTTCCACGCATGGCTGGATCGCTCGCTAGCTGAATTGGAGGACAAGCCATCCGCGTCGATTGGGCTCTTCGCACTTGTTGTGGTCTTTTTCCTCGCACAGCGAGGCTGGGAGTTGCCCGAGGCGGCCCGCGAGCCCGTCATTCGGCTCTGCTCGCAGCATAAACAGCAGCCGGATTGTGTTACTCTGCTCAACCAGCTCCGACGCCATTCCCAGTAGACCACGGGAACGGAGGTGGGGGAGGCAGCCGAAAATAATAAAGAGAGAGAGAGAGAGAGAGACGAAATATATATATATATATATATATATTCAGTTTTGCCTTGAAGTGGCGGTCACCACAAAGCGGTCATTTACGACAACAACAACAACGGCAACAACGAGCGCATTACGCTGTTGACGGAATGCTGCATGGGGCTCCAACTGCCGGATCACTCTTCCGTATCGCTTTTTATTGTTGCATATTGTTCCATTACTATCTTTGTTTTCCCAGTTTTTTTTTACTTCATTTCCTTCCCGGCTCCTCCCTGCCAATATGCTGGCGCGTGGAATGATGCTGGGGTCGCGGGTTCGCGCCGGCCACAGTAATGCTTTGACAACCGCCTCTGACGCAGGCCGGTCACCTTGCGAATCTCCGCCTCCACTGTCTCCTTTCCACTCTCGCCCCCATTTCTGCCGTCCCTCTCTGCCTGTGTATTTATTCCGCCGTGCCTCGTCACACACACACACACACACCAAACATCCAACGTTGCTTGCAAAAATTAAGAGGAACAGGCTGAAGTATGCGCAACTACAACAACTTCAATCGTGTCTGGAAGGCGCCGCGCCGCCCGTTCGAGAAGGAGCGCCTCGACCGCGAGATGAAGCTGTGCGGCCAGTACGGTCTGCGCTGCAAGCGTGAGATCTGGCGCGTGAACATGACGCTGTCCAAGATGCGCCGTACGGCCCGTCTGCTGCTGACGCTGCCAGAGAACCACCCTCGCCGTCAGCTGGAGGGTTCTGCCATCATGCGCCGCTGCCACGACTACGGCTTCCTCGAGGAAGAGAAGGACAAGCTCGACTACGTCCTCTCCCTCACCGTCCCTGACATCCTCGAGCGCCGCCTGCAGACCGTGGTGTTCAAGAGCGGCCTCGCCAAGTCCGTGCACCACGCCCGCGTGCTCATTCTGCAGCGCCACATTGCCGTGGCCAAGCAGATTGTGACGATCCCGTCATTCATCGTCCGCGTGAGCTCCGAGCACCACATCGCCTTCGCGGATGCCTCGCCCTTCGGCAACGGCCGCGCGGGACGCGTGAAGCGGGTGAAGAGGAAGGCGGCCAAGAAGGCAGCTGCCGGCGGCGGCGACGACGACGAATAGTGTGCGCAACACCCACTCGGCCTAACCGGTTCATTTTACAAACACTTCTTTTGCTTTCATAAACCAATATATATACCTGTATCTCTGCGCACCTAGACGCGCGCACTGTTTTTTCCACCCCCTGCATGCTGCCAACAATCACTGCAGTCATGGCCTAAAGGCACACGAAAAAAAAAAAACTTAATCCTCTCCCAATGCTTTGACGCTCTTTCTGTTACACCATTGTAGTGTAGAGAAGTAATACGCGCATACAAAACAACAACAACATAATAATAATAAAGTTAAACATATCACACAGAAGCAAAAGCAATTATGGCCAAGCGTGTGGAGGTATTGCAGACGCAGCTGCCGGCGTACAACCGCCTGAAGACTCCGTACGAGGCGGAGCTTGTCGCGACAGCCAAGCAGATTACGGCTCCCGGCAAGGGACTGCTCGCCGCTGATGAGTCCGTTGGCTCGTGCGCAAAACGCTTCGCCCCACTGGGGCTTAGCAACACGGAAGAGCACCGCCGCCAGTACCGTGCGCTGATGCTCGAATGCGAGGGCATTGAACAGTACATCAGTGGCGTCATCCTGCATGATGAGACGGTATATCAAAAGGCAAGCACCGGTGAGACCTTTG